CAAGATTTCTTCATATCTTCACTTGTGTCAAGCTATTTAACTGTATACACTAACATTGATAAGGTTTCTTCCTATCTTTACTTGTGTCAAGCCATTTGACTGCAAACAGTATAACATTGACAAGGTTCTTTCCTATCTTCACTTATGTAAAACCATTTGACTGTCAAGCCATTTGACTGCATACAGTAACTTTCACAAGATTTCTTCATATCTTCACTTGTGTCAAGCTATTTAACTGTATACACTAACATTGATAAGGTTTCTTCCTATCTTCACTTGTGTCAAGCCATTTGGCAATAACATTGATAACCCTAAGGTTTATCTTATCTACGAATATTTCTAGGGCTTTCCCGAGACAGCGCATGTCCTATTGCTTTATGGCGCTGACATTAACAAGCAACAGATTGCGGGCGAGACCGCTTTAATGAAGGTAAAAAGAGTGCCCTGAGAGCAAGTCTTTTGAAAGATAATCACTGTCGTCCGTTACTCTAAAAATCCTAATATCCACGACATGAGTTTTTAAACTTTATTCAGTTTATTGAGTGATGTTCCCGGATGTAATTCTTTGTTTTTATTGGTTAATTTAGGCTTGTAAAAAAGGTCACACTGACGTGGTGGAAGTTCTTTTACGTAATGGCGCAGATACAAGGTTGGAATCAAAGTCCGGTCACACTGCTCAACATTTTGCAATTCGTGGATATCCCGAGTTATCATCACTTATAGAAGAACACGAGAAAAGGTTAGTAACCTAGCAACAGAAGTGAGACTTAACCTAACAGGGGGTGGGTGAGTGGGTGTGTCGCCTTTCACCTTGACTTAGATCAGCCCAGACGTTGTTTCTGGGTTCGATCTGAGTTAGCCGTGCCCTGACTTAGACTCTTCCACAGTCTCTCGCTCGTCCGTTCCGTCGTTTCAATATTTTCAAGATGGCGGCGAAAACGAGAGAGACTGTGGACGAGTATTTTGGTTCCCAAAGCACGCTGGGTCCAAGTTTTCGGGACCCATAAGTCCTTTCGGTCATTGTACCGTTACAGTCTCTAAGCGTGGAGACGGAACGGACGAGCGAGAGACTGTGGAAGAGTCTATGCCCTGACTTAGATCAGCCCAGAGGTAGTTTCAGGGTTCGATCTGTGAGTTAGCCATGCCCTGACTTAAATCAGCCCAGAGGTTGTTTCAGGGTTCAATCTGTGAGTTAGCCATGCCCTGACTTAAATCAGCCCAGAGGTTGTTTCAGAGTTCGATCTGAGTTAGCCGTACCCTGACTTAGATCAGCCCAGAGGTTGTTTCAGGGTTCTATCTGTGAGTTAGCTATGCCTTGACTTAGATCATCCCAGAGGTTGTTTCAGGGTTC